TTTTATTTATATTTATTTATTTTGTTGTTTTGTTTATTTATTGATTTGATTGATTTATTTCTATTTGTTTGCTTGTTCATTTATTTGTATGTTTACTTATTTTATTTTCATTATTAGTATTATTATTTATTTATTTATTTATTTTTATTTTTTAATGATACAGAGCCTTGTACTGCACTGGATTAAATCAGGTCATGAATGTAGCACCAACACAGCAGGGGTGGGAAGGGTGAGGGTAAAGGGGGTCATGTTGTTACAAAATACAAATATGTGTGGTTTTGTATTAATCTAAGAGAAAAATCAATAAAACATGTTAATCGTAAAAAAAAAATGGACATATACTTTGAAGCTTCAATTTATCTCATATAATAAGTCAAAGCACATCAAATGTCAAGTCTGGAGCAAAAGAAGCAATAAGCCTCAAGAGGCCACACGTTACAGTGATTTTATCACAACGCTCTTAGACACGGCACAGAGTAGAGTAAAAACACTGTATTGCAGGGCCACGAGTGGCTTTGTTGTTTTTATAAAATGGCAACAACATCAGATATGATAAAATACATACATTTTTAATAAATAACCAATAAAAATGTAATATGAATTATTAATAATAATCCCAAAAAACTATTCTTTCACCAAGAGGTGTATGATATTTTGCTAAGCAACTAAGGCCTGCAGAAAGAGGAGAACTTTGCCTCCCATAATTGTGTATTACAGTCATTTATAAACTTGTCCCATATAATACTGAAAATATAAAAAATACAGCAGTGTTTGATGCAGAAACCTTTATCTTGTACAAAGCTTTTTCTTAGGACCACATTTATTCTATAATGAACTTAAGAAACCAGAAAGTCAGCCCACTGGTTTAATCTCTATGACAAAAAGGTATAATTAAGTAACTTATGTCACAACATCATTTGTGTGGAAGGTAAACCTGTCCCAACACTTTCTCTTTCCTTTGGTTTCATTGAACATTTCCAACTGTAATTATGTGGTTTATGTGTAATAGATTCTGAGGAAAGCAAATAGAACACTCCCTCCTACCTGGTTCTCAATCGCTCAGAAGCATATAATGAGCTCAAAACAGTAAAGCATTACTTAAAACACTGTGAAAAAACCTAAAACACTCAAACCATTAGCCACATACAACACACAAAGTCAGTCATTCACTATCACCAAACTGAGAGCACTATTTGATCATTCTGTAAACACAGACACAATGAATGCTAAATATCAGCATCAAAACTGGATGGACTACATGGTGTTACACACCTGCAGAAAGTCTTTTACAGCATTCCTAAAAGACAAGCCTGGTGTCCGCAATGAAAACAAAACAAGGCATAGTCTCTCATTTCACAATGTCACCATAATTACAGTGAAGAAAGTAGCAATAATATAAACTTCTAAGCTAATCTTTATTCTCACAACAAATCAGTATCAACACTGGTGTCTTTTGTTCCAAACCAAGCAAGGAAAACATTCTCTTATCCTGGGTGAATAGGCATGAATGTTCAGTAGGGTTGAAGAATGTGAACTGGGTGGTAAGAACAGTACGCTTGAAGAAGGGTGAATGAACTCGAGTGAGGAAGAGTGAACAATGCAGGGTGGACTTCTCTGGAAGGGTATATATAGAGTGATTTGAACTACTCAGCAGGGTTGAGGAAGGGTGAATATGGGGTTAGATTATGACCGATTATGCTGAAATAATAGCTTATGTCCTTCAGATTTTGACTGATTATGACAAAATAATGTCTTATTTTCTCAAGATTTTGAATAAATATTTTGAAATATTGACATTTTCTCAAGATTTTGACTGATTATTGTCATGTTTAGAGTTGGCAAACGCATCTAAGCAATGGAGAGATATTATAAAGTTCTAATATGAAGTAACCACTGACAGTTCCCTATGAGATACACTATACTGATAAAAGTATTGGGATGCCTACACATTACACTCACAGGAGCTTTTATGACATCTCATTCTAAATCCATAGAAATGAATATGGAGTGGATCCCCCTTTTGCTGCTACAACAGCTTCCACTCATCTGGGAAGTTTTCTACAAGATTTTGGAGTGTCTGTGAGAATATTTGCCCATTCATCCCGAAGAGCATTTGTGAGGTCACTGATGTTAGACGAGAGGTCCTGGCTCACAATCTCCACTTAAGTTCATCTCGAAGGTGTTCAGTGGGGTTGAGATCAGGGCTCTGTGTGGGCCAGTCAAGTTCTTCCACATCAAACTCATCCAGATAAGCCTTTATGGAGCTTGCTTTGTGTCATGCTGGAACAGGAAAGGGCCTGTTCAAACAAAGTTATAAGCATACAGTTGTCCATGTTTTGATATGCTTGAATATTAAGATTTTCCTTCACTGGAACTAAGGGGCCTAGGCCAACCCCTGAAAAACAACCCCACAGCATTATCCCTCCTCCACCAAACTTTACAGTTGGCACCCATACTCGTCCATCAGACTGCCAGATAGAAAAGCGTGATTTGTCACTCCACAGAATACGTTTCCACTGCTCCAGAGTCCAGTGGCGGTGTGCTTTACACCACTCTTTCCGACACTTGGGATTGTGCCTGGTGATGTAAGGCTTGCATGCAGCTGCTCAACCATGGAAACCCATGCAATAAGGATCCAGACAGAGTTTTTGTGCTGATTTTTTTTTATGCACTATGCTCCTCAGCACTCAGCAATCCCGCTCTGTAAGTTTACATGGTCTGCCACTTTGTGGCTGAGTTGCTGTGGTTCCTAATGTAGCGCCCCTACACCGGGTCATGGTAAATATCTGAACTTGGCTAAATGTCCCGTTAGGGCGCCCTGGGTTCTGTTGATGTGGTTTAGTAGCTCTGAATGAATTTACTGCTTGTTTACGGATAGATTCTAGCTTAAGGACTGTAAAAAGCATACCTTGGTGGTGCCTCTAATAAATTAGGTAGACGGGAACTATGCTAGTACCCCCTTCTGATGAAATAAGCAGCACTTAGAATACTTACATGTAGGATGTATATAGATATTGGATTTAATACACCCCAAACACACAATATAAACACTCTCAAGAAAATAAAGTTTAAGACAGAGCTATTGTTCTCAACTGTTGTTAGAAACAATCCTCAACTCAAAGTGCATATATTCAAATTCTAATACAACTGAACTGTGCAGTGGGCCCACGCATGCGCACTCTTTCACACTCTCACTCTCAAAACCTTATTCACGTTGCAGGCCTGGGTCGTTGCTAGGGTGCATCGTGGCCAAAAAAAACACAATGGCCCCTTCACTCTTATGAGCCAACAAGATAGTTAAACAGTTGTTCTAACTCACTGTGTTGCTGAACTCTCTCTCTCTCTCTCTTTCCCTCGAACTCCCTCAAGTCTCTCCCTCTCCCTGGCAGCAGCGTCGCTCGGGGTTGGGGGGGGGGTGGTGTGCTCGCGTGTGCTCACGGGGCTCCGAGGGGTTAGGCTAGTCGGCTGAGGCGGCTAACAGTGCAGACTCCCACGGTGCCAGTGGAAGTTTGGGCTTTCCGGTCACCTAAACCGCTAACTGGTGATGGCTGAGCGTTGAGCGAGGTCTATAACTAATTTGGTTGGACAGGAGAAGGCTTGGTTGAGCTAACCAAAAAGTCCAATATTAACTATCACACGAGGCTGGCGGCCAGTCTGAGCTAGGCTAGCGGGCAGTTCAATGAGTGTCGAACTTGTTAGCTAAACTGCTATAAGTACCAGTAATTACATAACATTACCATCTCTTTCCTTGTCGCACAGTTGTTTTCGTGATATCGAGCTGATAACACAACTGTAATATTAGAGCGGTGGTTCCGTTAATCACAGAATCACCGTGGAACTTTTCGCTCTCTCCTCCTCGCTCTTTCCCTTCCCCCCTCGTCCCCCTAGCCCCCGCCCCTTTCTCCCTGCACAGCCTCTGACAGAGAGCTCAGGTCATGAACTGAAACCAAATTAAAAGAAGGGAGAAGAAATAAAGACAAAGAATATAACATAGTTTATCAATATTAAACCAAATTTATATGAACTATTTTAAAGGAACAAAACTTCTATGACTGATTATTTAGCAGGGTTACACTAAACACTTCCACTTTTCAATAATACCACTCAAAGTTGATCGTGGAATATCAAGGAGGGAAGAAATTTTGCAAACCTACCTGTTGAAATGGTGGCAACCTTTTACAGTGCCAGTGAATTCAGTAAACTCTTTAGAATGACCAATTCTTTCACAAATGTTTGTGACAGACTGCATGGCTAGGTGCTTGATTTTAAACACCTGTAACAATGGGACTGAATAAAACACCTGAATTAATTAGTCAATGATTAGAAGGTATGTTCCAATACTTTTGTCCATATAGTGTGAACTATGATTTAGTTAAAAAAAAATCTCTCTAAACTCTAAAAAGAAGTTAGTCAATTCTAAGAATTGGTAAGAAAATAGCATTTCAAATATTAAAAGATATGTAAAAAAAAAAAAAAGCAATTATGTGCATTTACCCTCCACTACATCCACATTCTCTTCATAGACAGTCTACCAAACTGGGCCAGTTCTATTGCCCTTTTATCCATTTATTAATAATAAGTTCAAATTAGTGAACCAAAAACCCAGTTCTAACTTGCTAGCTGCCTAATGTTTGCTTTGTTAAAGCCTGAAAAAAGTCTCCAAACTTTCATAGAGCCTAGCTCAGACAAAAGAAGCCATGCTAATCAGCTGATGGTTAAGTCAGGTGCACTTGATGAGGATGAACATTGAAATCTGCAGTGCTGTGTCCTTTGCTAAAGGTTCTGTTAAACAATATCAGTGTTAATCATCCAGTAAGCACATGTAAAGAATATTTAAACAACAGTAAGTTAAGCAAATTGACTGAATATGTGCAGCTGGATCTGGCAGAGAGCTAGTTGGGTCTAGCAGAGCACCAGAGCTAAGGAGAATAGGGTCTTCATATCTGTAACACGCTGTAGCCTTGTTTCAAAGGCTTCTTGTGAGGCCTGAGCATAATAGTTGGACACTTTCCACTCACTCAGTGAAACTTGTTCCAGATGAGAAGGACAGTCCAGGCCAGATGTGCTAAGCCATAAATTAGAGACATGTGTTAAAAGAATGTTTTCTAACAGAATAACACTATTTGAACTCTCAGAAGTCCTCCAGAATTTGCTTAGTATCTCACATGGTTTGAACCTTCCATGTTATTATTGTTTTTAAAAGTGATAGTAGATTGTTTTGGACTTACAAGAACCTGTTGAGAGTTATGTTGTTGACAATTTCCACCATTTCACTGAGTTTGGTGTGGAAGAACCCTGCACCTTGCAAGCACAGTGCTATTAAGTGAGAAGTCACAGTCTTAGTTAATATTATTTTCAGATCTTGCCTTCTTATATTTCTACATCTAGTCTTCAGTCTTTTTAGCAGTGAGTTATTGTGAAAAGTAACATTAAAAGTGAATTGCTTCCTTACATTTGACAAGATTCCTTTCAAGGAAGGTGGTGTGTCTGCACATTAAGCTGCCTTCTCGGTTCCTTGGGGAAACTTGCACTGGAAGATTCCGCCCCTTCACAAAAATCTGTAAAGGGGTGGAACCTTCACTTGCCATGGACCTCCCTTTGGCATTTCATTTGCTGCAAACAACTTCAGAGTTCAGTTCTGCTGCAAAAGGATAAACCACAAGATTCTTTCATTGGCCTGAGGTAAGAATGTCTCTGAGCTTGGCTGGATGCATGCATGCTCCCCATCCCCCAAATAAGAACTGGATAAACAATAGCAGGATGTATTGAAATGATCAGCCTTATGAAGCTTTATGCATGCATAATAACTTGTTTATTACTATATACTTACTATATAACACTATTTAATTTGGGTAAAGCATCAAATGTAGCCTTGCATTTGTATTTATCATGTTCAGTATGTATTTACCATGTGATTTTATGTATATATATATATATATATATATATATATATATATATATATATACGCTCATTACTATGAGAGAATATTTTGTTATAAAAGTATATGGTGTTATGTTATGATATGAAGTTGCATTGTTTTAGAATATCTTATGTATTTAGAACTTCTTATATTGCAATGTTGTTGGAAAACTATGCTTTACACATTTTGTGGGTTAAAATGTTTTACTTTTTCAAGAATTATATTCAAGCGACTGAGACTGTGGAATAATGATTATTGCATGACGACTGTAACATTTTGCAAAGATGGCCAAGAGGAGGTTTGTTCCGCATATCTTAGAATGTGCTTTTACCCACTACAAGTTCTTTCATGTTGATTTCATCTGAGGAAATGTTTCATAGCAGATAGGATAGAGGATAGTAATGGAATGCTTTCACAGAGGAAATAAGACACAAACATTACAGCCTCCTCACATAATTCCCAGGCTTCATTTCGGGCAATGAACCCATGTCATTAAGCAAGGGTCATAAACACACATTGCTCCAGGAGGTCTGCTTCCCACTATACTTTGCCAATACATGTTGTGTTTACTTTTGGTTTCGGTGGTGCACCAGGAATAATAAGTCTCACCCTTAACTTATCTTGCTGGACCTTTTTACCACTGACAGCATTGCACCATCGTACACTGTGCAGCATTGCCCCTCAGTGGTGGAATGAACTTTCCCCTGAACTCTACATCGCACAGCCACTCAGTTCTTTCCTGTGTGATTTGAAGACTTATGCTTAGGTTAACACTTTGTTTGCACTCCTTTGAACTTCACTTTTGAACCATTTATCCTCCTCAAACTTCTGCGCTTGTTTATTGTTATTGTTTACTTACTCATGCCAAGGGTCTATCATTATTTAGCAGTATTTATTTAATACACCAAGTCTTGAATTCTTGAATTTCTCTACTTGACTTTGCATCGTATTGTAAGTCGCTCTTGTTAACAGCATCTCATAAATGGATAAGTTCATCCTTCTTTCACTTAATTTCAAGTCAAAACGGCCATTAAGTTATTCATTTTTCAGGAGATGTTTCTAAGTAGATTAGATGTTAGATCAGACAAGCTTGAGCCAAGGACAACTGAGTGGAAAAAACAGGAATTTCCAAAGGTGAAGTAATGATTAAAACATACAGAGACAAAAAGGCTCCTAAGAACCCTGTCAGACCTGGTAGGCCACCAAAGTTCAGATCTCAACATGTATTTGGGTTTATTTGGATGGTGAGAAGCAGAAAATGCAACCAACTTCTGAGACTGAACTTTAGGGGTGGGAAATATTGAAAGCAAATCACCTGAAAGAATGGAAGCTGTATTAAAGGTAGACAAGCAGAAAATGCAAACAACTCCTAAGACTGAACTTTGGGGGGTGGGAAAAAAATGCTGGCAAATTTCTTTGAAGAACTGAAAGTTCAAGTTTCCTGAAAAGACTGGGAGCTGTTAGAAAGGCAAAAGCCGGGCATACTAAATACTGAAAAATTACATTATATTTAGTTGTTGAGGCTTCTGTGTAAATTTCTCTAAATTCAAAATAAACATAATGGTTATTTTGCCTGAAAATTAGATAAATGAAGGATCTCTAACAGTACTGTCTATACAAAGCATGGCATATTAGTATTGACAGGCATCGGCATCAAGGCGAAATCAGCAGGACTGGACTGCTGGTCTGGATATCCAAGAGAAAAAAACAAATCCTCCCTGAAATAGCACTCACTCAGATGGTGTGAACTCTTGTTGTTAGCTGTGTAGTTTTTTTCTATGGTGGTGGAGTGTTTGAGTAGTTTCAGCTTGAAAGTCTACTATTAGATGGTCATAAGATAATATGGTCTAAGCATTGGTCCTATCGTTTGACTGGCTGGGATGCCAAGATAGCATAGTTGGTCTCACTGCCTCTTGGTGGGTGGGTGGGATGGCCCATCCTCTATCCCAACAACATGCTAGCCATTGGCATCACTTAGCTGATGTCACAAAATTAGCAGTTAACCTTCTCCTCTAAGCACATTGAGCTTTACAGTGAGGTTGCACTAACATAAGTTTAAAAGATATGGTGGCCTGTTACATGTCTCAGACGAAGCATGTGCTAACCTTCACACTCCCAACTAGGTACCAAGGTGTGATGGGGGATCCTTAGATAGCGGTTGGAACTGTACATGACCAAATTAGGTGTTGATGTAATTTTATGTATTTGAATGTGTTAGCTTAACAATTTCCAAAGGAAATCCAGCATTTATTCCAGGTTTATTTCATACAAAGCATTATTATTCAGTAACTAAAGGGGCTTCAATGCAAACTAATGGAGGTATTCTTAGGTTATAGAAGTGTGTAATAAAACTCTGAACCTACTGGTGGGCCCATGGCTTGTTAAGGGGTTAAACTCAATCAGTTGTGCTGATGATGGATTGTGTGCAATGGCTGGAGCGCACCAAGAAGTCAGGAACCAAACTTGTGTTCTTCTAGCTGTATTTTTCGAATAACTTCCAAAAAACAACATGCCTTTTCTTGAATTTATATTCATGAATTGTATGTATTCTACCATTAAACAGTGTGTTTGCTGACAAGATAAATAAGTTGAAACAATATTAATGTCTGCCTAAGACTTTTAATTTGAAGGCTACATACCTAGGAACTTTATAACACATGCATAAGCAATGAATAATGTATTTATAAAACAATACTTGAGCATTTATGAACAGCTTATGGCTTTAATCACAAGATGATATAAGATGTTTTATAAAATAAATGACTTTGGATTGTTACAACGGGTCTTAAGTTACAGGGTGGCACATTTGTTCCTTTTATAACACTGTTATTAAGCATCATTCATAAGTAATGGGCTCTATAAGGCAGAAGCTTAGTTAATAACACTAGGTATCAGTTCTATACAGTTCTACTTGGGCTGCCTAAAAGTATTTGTACTTTTAATACTAAAGTACATTTAAAATGATGGTATATTCATATGCTTATGTACTCAAGCAGAACTATGGATAACTTTGATTTTCACTCATGGGATATTCTGAGTGTTTCTACTTTTGCACAAGTACAAATGTTAAAATATGTAAGATTATCACTTAAACGCTGATATTTGGTGCTCTTAACTAGGCCTACATGGTCTGTCTACTGGTATTTATTGATTATCTATTCATCACACTCTCTTTTTTTCCAGAATTTCCAAGATGTCCTACAACATGACAGAGCCTGACTATGACTATGAAGATAATCATTGGCAGATAGAGGAAACCAGAGCAAATGCTGTGTTTTTCAATGGCATCAGGATGCTGTACATTATCTCGTACTTTATTATTTGCTCCTTGGGTGTGACCCTCAACTCTTACGTGATCATCACAGGTTTGAAGGGTAAGTTTCAGAAGTCTACCACCCGTGTGTGGGTCCTGGCACTGGCCATGACGCACTTGGTCTTCTCCTCATTCTTGATGCTGCAGCTCTTGTACGCATGGCATCATTTCAACTGGCACTTTGGAACAGCTCTTTGCAAGCTCTCATCCTACATTACCTATGCCAGCATGTTCTCCACGGGTGCTCTGCTGAGCCTGTGGAGTGCCAGCAGCAGGTGCCCAAAAGGCACTAGATGTGGCAGCCGTGGCCCATCCACAGTCCTGGTAATGGTTATATGCTCCTGGACATTCGGAGTGCTTGTCAGCAGCCCATCTCTGCTCTACCGAGAGCTTCACAGCACAGAGATCGGAGTGCAGTGCATCGATGACTACGATTCAGGCAAAGAGAGCGCAACACCCGATGGAGTGAAAAAAATGACCACTGTTCTTCTCAGCAGGCTCGTGCTGGGCGTTTTGGTTCCTATGCTTGTGATGGGAGCCAGTGCATGTCTGGTACGACCACTGGATCACAATCTGAAGAGTTGCAAGCGAATCATTTGTGCTATAAAGGTTGGCTACTTCATCTGCTGGACGCCCCTGCTTGTTCTGAGGCTCGTTAAGGTAGCTGAAGGAAGCCCTTTCGCATACGCATTACCAGCAACCACTGTGCTCGCTGCAGCTCATTGTTTCATCAACCCTGTGATCTATCTGTTAGTGGGATGCAAAATTAGTATGGACTGGATGTCAAAGGAACCAAGAGCCCACGAAAATCAATCTGGTGAATGCATGCATGCACTAAATGGCAAGGAGTAACGGTGTACATCTGGAAAACAGACTGTCAGATGCTGAGGTACTGACTTTAATCAATGAATCTCTGCCAAAAGAAAATGGGAAAACAAGGATGTTCCAACATTCCAAGGGATTCCCAAGGGTTACTTTTCTTTCTCAACAAGTTCAAGGCCAGAGGAACATTAGAATTATCAGGCATGAGTACCAAACCTTGGTCATTTTCTACTTTGTATGAAATGTTGCACAAATGTCAGTAAAAATAAGTCAAAGGCCCACCATACCAATAATGCATGAAAAGAGATTTGTTAGCACTGGAAAGATTTCAGTATTCCTGCAGGAATGGATAGATCTTGTTTTTGCATGTAATGCAAATGTCAAAGAACACCCTTTGAATTATTTCCATTCAAAACAGCCATTAAGTGCAAGTTATTGATTTTTTAGCTTTGGGAACTAAATAGGAAACACATATTTGATAAATTATTTTACAGAAACCTACTTTTTTCAGTATGTAGTGTCCACATTCAGCTTCCATTCTTTTCAGGAGACTCGTGTTCAGTTTTTCAAAACAAAACTGCAGGGATATTTTTTTACAGGTCCAAAGTTCAGGTTGGTTGCTTTTTTCTGCTTCTCACAATCCAAGTAACCCCAGTTACAAATTGAGACTTATTAGTCCAAGTAGTCAGTCTTGTTCAGTTATTTCTCATGTCTCCTGTTTTTGTGTAATGTTCTACTAAATATGTTTTCTAACTTAATACTACAGAGCCCTGCTGGTGACATTCAGTATTAATAAAAATAATGCATGGCCACAACTTAGTAAACTGTGGGAATTAAATAATTAAGTGGTGGCCACGACTTAATAAAGTGTGGGAACGAGATCCTAATACATGGCCACAACTTCGTAAGGCGTGGGAATTAGTTAATAAAGCCTTGACCACAGCTTAATAAGGCATGATCTTGTTCTCATGCCTTACTAAGTCATGGTGGTGACTTATTATTTTGTTCCCATGACTTACTAATTGAAGCCACGCATTAGGCTCTCTTTCCCATGCTTTAATATGGCGTGGTCATGCATTATTTTTATTTATATGGTATAAGCCATCAACCGGAAGGTAGCAGGTTTAAATCTCACAAATTAAAAATTTCCCTTGTAGGACCAATAAAGTACATAACATTACATAACAACATGCATACGAAAATGATTCATTTGGTAAGAGCAAATTAAACAAGTTTATTCAACTCACATACACACTTTGACTGAAACAAACCCAAAGCAAAATTTTATCTTAGATGACCAAAAGCAATACTTTACATCAGTGCACACCTCAAAACACCTTCAAATCAACTTCTGTTACACTTTTTTACCATGTGTAGTGGACAAAGGTAGCATTTGTGATATCAAGTCTGGTCACCAAGTTGGTTGAGTATTCTGGCTAGCATTAGCTAGCTGCAATACATTTGTTTTACAAATAAAGTTAATGTCTGCTTAAAAGTTGTCTAACATCCAGCTATAAATTGTAAAGCTAGAACTTTTAACAAACATCAGAAGGATGAGATTATCCTCTTGTCTTATGCTTGCTCTGGTGTAGATCAGCTTATATAGTGTAAATGATGAATATCAGAGGTGCACGTGAAAGCAGTCAGAAAGAAACTCTACATTCTCCATTCACTTTTCCAAAATTCCCAAATGAAAGTGATCTACAAATCCTCTCACTTTAAGATGTTTTGCCTGTTTTTGTTTTAGTTAGCGGTGCGAAGAAAAAAAAATAATAAACAATCCAAAAAACAAATCCAAAAAATCCAAAGAACACACTGTGCCACAGCCAGTGATTTTTTGTGTTGTTTATTCATGTTATGTTCAACGTTTTATGGCCAACGTAATAAAAGGTGTATTTTTTAAGAAATTCAAAACAACCTAGTAGGTTTTAGTGTGTACTAAAAACCTAGTGTATCTGCTCTGAGATATTCTGAGGTATTCTGCAAAATACAAACATATTCTGAGCCTTATGTGCAAGAGTTTTACGCTTAGCACTGTGAACGTTATAATGAGTAATGAGGTACACTGGAAGTCATTTTCAGATAGCAAACTGGGGCTGATTTTTATTTACATATAAGTATTCAGACCTAAGATAGTTATAGATTGTTAGTATTTAACCTCAGTGAATTACTTGAGAAAATAACAGACTACATAGGTACAAAATCATCATTTATAGGGTACATTCCTTTGGAAGGTGACTGTCCCAAACCCTAACCCCTAAATTTCAACATGAGAAAATATTTTTTTTGCACTTTATTTCTTTTCAAGTGACATTAAAATATTTAGATTCAACATGACTTTAATTAAAAAAATGAAAATAAAAACTTAGCCCATATTTTATCCACACCCCTGCATTTTAGAGCAGGAACTGGGACTGCATCCTTTTGAAAAATTTGGTACTGAAAGTTTTAGTAGTGTTATGGCTGTTTTTGGTAGTGACAAAATGGAATGGTCAATGGATAATTTTGATAAACATAATTAAGGTATAGGATCACTCAAAGATTTTAGTCTAAGGTCCAAGTTGGTTAAAAATAATTGGAGATTTTGGAGATTATACCTTTCATTAAAAAATAATCTTCTGACGGAGGTTAATATAACTGCATATTTTTCCGAGTAATTTTGGATCATTGGTCCACTGATCATAAACTTTGACACAATGCAAAGGTTTTTGCCCAACAGCAATGATGTATATATACAGTATTGTCCAGCATTCTAAGAAATATGCAGGGATATTTTCCCACACCACCAAACTTGAAAATTGAAAATTGAAAATTGGTTGGTTCTCATGAAATCTGTGCACTCCTTAACACATTCAGTGGTTGGAATTCTTCTCCAGGCTTTCTCCACACAAAGACTCTATCATCAGTTTAATGTTGTGATAAGTGTCTCAAAAACAAGTATCATTTTGTTGAACGTTTTATTAAGTATCCTAAAGAATTGATCAATGGTTAAAGTGTCCAAATACTTTTGGAACCAATGGATACTTATACATGTGTTATGGCTGCCAAACGATTCCAATTATTAACTGTGATTCCATGATATTACGTAGTCAATCACAAATTTGACCATAAAGAAAGATTTTTGTTGTAGCTGTATGAGTAAACAAAATAACCTTCATCTGAATGTGTTTATTACTTTCAGTTATTCAATAAACTGATTGTCATCATGTGAAATATGTAATATATCACTTTCAAAATCAATTTTAAAAGGGAATTGTATGTTTAGACTTCATTCCTATTTCTGTGTTCTATATCAGTCCACCACTAGAGGTCAGTAGTCTGAGGGGAAAGTCCATTTCAGTACGTTCTGTATTGCCTGTGTACTCATATGTGACATGTATGCATCTATGTTTTTTTTCTCTACAGTGCAATATTATATTGAATTATATGCTTTACAGGAATAAATAAAGTACATTTTATTTTCATGCTCTTTGCCTAGATTTGCTCAACATTGTATTGCTCAATAATAGAAAATCTGTGTGCTAATAAATCTGTTATGGTCCAAGTTGGCTGTTATTTTTAAACTAGTCTTCTAATACACATCTAATGTGGCTAATTAGCTACCTTGCTTGCTAGCTAGCTTAACTTACTGGCTCATGTGAAATGATATACTGCATTTTTCTGTTTACACACTCACACTACTGACTACATGTTTAGAATTTAGCAAAACCTTTTGAGGAAAAACACTTCTGCTGTAGCAGCTAGCATACTATCTCCATTTTTGTCATTTTTCAGTTTTTAACACAATTTGAAAATGCCTGTTGTCTTTTACATTGTGTGTAAATTTCATAAATGGACCAAAAGAAACAGCCCAAAATGACTTGGAAAAACCTCTGGTTCCATTGACTTACATTAAAAGTAAAGAATGTTTTTTCTCCTGTAAAGTTACCATTTTGGAGATACAAGGTTTTCTTTTCAGCAGCGATATGTAACTGTATAGGAAACTTATTCACAAAGTAATAATTCTAAAAAATAGCGATGAACACATCAACAAGCCATTCTATTTTACATTCAGGAGCACTCATTGGTGATGTAACAGTGCCTGGTGACTTTATCTTCATCTGGAAGAGTAAAGCATTTGCTAAATTCTTCTTGGCTACAGCTGCAAGTGCTACCAAAGACAGAGGATCCCTAATCTGTTACTTCCATGGTGATGTGGACATTCTGGGTTATCCACCTGGAAGTATATGCAATCTTTATGTTTGCAAGCCTCCTCATTTGCTCTATAGGCCCTGTTTTCGAGACCTTAGTGGAATGAATGTTATTCTAATTTACTGTGTGTTAATGTGTATTAATGTGTGCAATTAAATGACTTGTTTTACCAGAAATGATAACATTAATAATAATCAACAGCAAATAACTGGCCATCAAATTAGCCTTATGTAAAGAAGATCATGCAACATGGCTATTTAAGAGTCACACTATTTCATTAACCCCTTAAAATCCCAGGCTTATTACATAATAAAGCTTATTATTCAGTAACTACAGGGACTTCAATGCAAACTATGACCTATTCTTATGTTATAGAAGTGTGTAATAAAACATTGGGCCTGCTGGTGGGCCCTGGCCGTTCAAGGCTTTAATGCCTTGACCCTTGCTAGAAAAAAGAAACTGTACGACAAGCCCAAACATGGTAATGTGGCCTCTGTGGGAAGTGGTCTGCTTGGTGTGAGTTTACAGGAAATGTATGGGAAATAGTGTAACCGTGTTGCATAGCTTCAGTTGGGGAAATCTAACATGATGCATTAGTGGAAGCATTCAAACATTAAAACTAATCAGAAACTGAAATTAAAGAACAGGGTACTTTGACTTTACTTGTTATATGTTAAAAAATATAACTTAATCTAAAAGATTTCAATATTTACACAATAATGTACATGAAGAAGTACTATGCATATCATGAATTTCATGATTGCATTGTTTTTTATTTCTTCTATTTGTCTTGTAATTTATTTTTCCATGTTTGCGTGGTTTTGTTTATCAACAACAGTAATAATAAATGATTTGTACAAGAACAATTTTTAAGCCTCATCATTAATTCATTAAACTGGCTGGTTTTGTTACTGTTCTGATTGGCTGCCCTAAATATTCTTCATTTAAAAGCAGTCCAGGCTGAAACACACTAAACTGCTCTAGGCTGAATAGGCCAATAGGTGTAAATTTGTTGGGTTTCATGACATTAAAAAATGGGCAAAACTGGCTACTTTTGCAGCTTAGTTTCCATGTTTGGACTGTATGGACCGGGAAGTGAAGTGAATGGGACATTTTTGTACTTGAATAATGTTTACATACTACATATAATAATAGCAGTTCCTCTATTTGTCCTCACTTTAACACTCCAACTCAACCAAATCCTTTTTGCACTTGTATTTTTACTGTCAGTCAAGCTCTGTTGGTGGAACTTTGGGAGAGGCTTTTTGGTGGAGGCTTTAAAGAGGAAGCAAGGTCTCACAAAAAAAACAAAGCAAACAGTTAAAACCTGAAAAACAGCCATTGTTACATGGCTTATCATTCGTTGCTTGGTTCTACTTATAAGGGGACATAAAGGATGTTGGTTAAATTCTTCTGGGACTTTCATTGTAAAAACAATCATGTACTTGTTATTCATTATGAGTATAATGGCTCATTAGCCAGAACCAAAATATTTTCCAGAACGTTTTGCCAACACTTTTTCCGTCTGAGCACATGTTCAATCCCCCATCAGAGTTTCCATGCAACTTCAAGGATATGCAGTGGGAATTCTATTTTATACAAATATTCCAATGTTTGAGATGGAAACAAAGTCATTCAGAGAGGTTTGATGTAAAATGGTTCATTGTAGAGAAACTTACCGACCAGAGATTGCAATGTGTACAACACAAATACAGCCCCACCAGTGAATCTACACCTTTTGACTTTTATATGCAATGTTAATGATGGGGAAATAGCGAAAAAAGGTTTTCTTTATCATAAAAAAAAGAAGTATAAAACAGTGTATCAGGCGTCAGGCCACATATTCACAACCATTTCAAGTAATAACCTTCTGTGAGGAAACCTTTAGAGTCATTAAACTCCTCAGCATCTGGTTCTTATCTGGTTCACCAGTGTGAACAATTCTGTTTATCTAGATCAGCACCCCATTGTGCTGGATGTCTCCGTTTACGTCTTAACCTTTCACGTGACCTCTCTATTTTAACATAACTTTCAGTTTTGAGCGGAAGAGTCATTAAACACTGTTTTGACAAAGCTGAAGTAGTGACGTTAACTGTGTGGTGGTTTTATTTTTAGTTCTGGGACTACATGCTTGGTTCGTGGTTGTCACGACAGCCAAGCAAAGCAAAATCAATGGCCGGAGACATACTGTCTCGATTACAAACCCTCTAGCTCTGGAAAGTGCTGTGATGCTGCCCCCGGTGGTTCTCCTTTCATCAACTGCCAACTGCAAAACCGGTAATGAAAGCAGTAGGTTCCTCAGATCACAGGACAGGTTATTGCTTTCCAAGTGTAGAAAAGGTATGCATTTATTCATTACACCATTTGAAATACAAGTTCTGTTTTACCGTAAATTTCTGTTTTTCCGTTTACTGTAATGCCTGCTGCAAACATCCAACCCTGTCACAAATTCATTGGCTCCGAATGTACATGAATTTAATCTCACTTCATGAACTACCCACCTTCTGCTAACCTTCCATAGTGCAACAGTGGTCCTGCGATGCATGTGTGAACCTGTCCTGTCTCTCACCACGATGGTATAGACTCTTCAGGCTCTGGCTGGGATCAATGTCTGCTTTTACGTTAACATACACTACCGGTCAAAAGATTTAGAACACTATGATTTCTCCAGGTTTATGGACATTTACTCAAATGAATGTCTCGATGTACTCAGAAATTAAAGCATAAAGTAAAGTAGCCACCTTTAATGCTGTGGTAGCCCCTTTTGCTCAGGGTGCCAGTCACTCTGTGCACATCGTTGACTCCGGATCCAGCATAAAACCCCAGTCCATCACGCTTCCTCTTCCATGTTTGACATTCGGTGAGGAACCATCTTTTTACCTGCTTGACACAGAACAAAAAACCTGTGTGATGAAATGAAAATTTTCAATTGATTCATTGGTCTGTAATACCTATTTCAGTCTTCAGGAGCCCGCTGCATGTGCTGCATGATCCAGGAAAGCCTCTTTTTCTTATTAATCCTGCTTAGCAATGGCTTTCTTACAACCATTTGACCTGTCAAACCTGCAGCTCGAAGTCTTGTCTTCACAGTTGAAACTGAAACTTGCTTACTTCAACCAGTGTCACGGCCTTGTCCTGTGAGCCAAGCTGTTGACTCTCAGCAACTGGTCTTCTGATCCTGTTGGGGCTTTGGGTCTGCTAGACTTCTTCCTGTCTGAGTTTCCTCCAGTTTCCAAGTGCCTTTTGATGGTGTACAAAGTCTCTTTGCAGTTTCTCTAAAGGAAAGACCTACACTTTAAGGGTTAGAAAGGTCTGTTTTGCTTGGTTCATTGTCTTTTCTTATCATTTCAATAGTAATATGCTACATCATGCAGTGCAATACAGCACAAATACTGTTCTGAGGGTGTCAGACAGAGGGTTAATCAACAAAGGTTTGGAGAACTGTAACTTAATAAAACAATCTTCGCCAGTGACTAGTTCCCTAGAAAAGGCCTTTTTAATAACTTTGAAAATCCTACAGTAGTTTTCCGTTTTTAAACCTCTGCCTGTTCATCGCTTACCTTTGTACCATTTCAGGTTATTCACTTGAAATGCCTAAATGTAAAAAAAAAAACCCTGGAAAAATGTATGTGTTCTACAACGTATGATTGATAATGTTTTTGCCTACCAATTTCACTTGAATCCACCTGACCTTATCACTATGAAGTAATTTGTATGTCTCTGAGCTTTTCAGGTTATTCATAGCCTCTCTGTCACTCACTAACGACTCCAAATAGTATGTGAAAATACTTTCCTGGTTGACTTTTGGCCACTTTTTTATATTGTCCTCCCACCCTTCTAAGGTAAAACGATAAGGTAAAACAAAATCACCTCACATTAATGTTGTTTTGGTGGTTGTTGTTGTCATTAGTGAGCCTAGGACTTTTACGGTTTGCCGGACATTTAGCATGTTTTGCACAAGGCCTGATGGGGCCATCATTAATAACTTCTGTAGATGCCCCACCACTCATTTATGTATATAGTTCTATGTAAACGTTTGTGCACCAATGCTCCCATGGTTTGGGATTAAACGTAAATATGGAATTTTCTGTAAATATTTGTGCAGAAATTTAATAATTTGCTTATTTTAAGATATTATAGGCATGTTAGTAAGTAAAAATAAAAACCTAAAATATTAACATTTGCACAGGCCATGTTTTTTGTATTATTTTTCACCCTAATATGTTTAATTTCATGAAAATTAAGAGCAAACATGCCATGAAATGTGTTCTCTGTCGAGGATGTGTTAAATGATTTTCACTTAGAAAATCAATAACACAGAGATTGACCAGGGATGTTCAAACTTTTGCATACTTTTGCAAGTGATCATTTGACTGCTTATTGCTTCAAGTGCACAAATAGTTCAACAGTGATTAAATACAAACCAGAAATTTATGTATATATGAATCCAAATAAAGCTTATGAAAAGACATATTCGAAATGCAGACTGTTTTGTTTCTCTGAACAGAACTGCAGCTGAAGTGAACCACCAACAGAAAGGGTGGCCTTCTCTTCCTGTTAATGTGGTCAAAGTTCTTCGCATAAAATGCTATTTAGTGGTTTATCACGTGTGTCAACAGAGACGCTGCAGAGTTGCAGTCTGAGTGGTGAGATCTTAACTGCAGGTCATTATGCTTAACTTCAGCTCGTGAACTTGATTACATTAAAGTCGACCTTAAAAATTAAAATTGGTTCGTTTTTACTGTTAGTACGTCTGTGGTCATCCATCATACAGTCATACGCAAAAGTTTTCAAGCCTGGTCAAGTGACATTTTGTTGAAGTGAAAAAAAAATGAACATGTACATTGTACATACTTACATATTGTCTGCAGTTTTCTGCAAAATTTAGGGCAAAGTGTTTCATTTGTTAAATTTAATTTAATTTTTTTTTTTTTCATTTTTCATTTTTTTTTCATTTTTAAATTCAGCAAATTGTGCATTGACCCCTTAACAAGCCATGGGCTCTCTAGCAGGCCCAACATTTTATTACACACTTCCATAACCTAAGAATAGCTCCACTGGTTTGCATTGAAGTCCCAGTAGTTACTGAACAATAAATCTTAGTATGAATTAAAATTGTAATGTAATGAGGTTAAAATGTGCAGAAGTGTGTTCTCTGTGTAACTGATATGTGGAAACTTATTTACACTTAATTAACAAAAACATGTCATTGGACCAGGAACACCCAAACATTTGCATTCGGTTAAATCATATCATTTCAAAGATATCACTCTTGTTTTAACATAGTTACTTTTGTTGCTTCAAAAACATTTTCTCATTTTGATTATGTCACCATGCACCAGTGGGAGGGGCAAAAATAATATTAACCGGCAATATTATCACATTCCACTTTCACCAAGAGAAAACGTTCAGATACCCTCGCTGATTTTTCGGGTTTTTCACTCACAAATAGGTCACGGTATGGAAGGAAAATGCATCATGTTCATTCACATTATCCTCCGCATGTATCCAGATGTTTTTAAAGAACATAGTATTTAAAAAAAAAATAAAAAATCTTCAAAAAAAAATTTACCATGGCCCCAGTAGTATAATATACCCCAAAGAATTTGGTGCGCTCTGTCTTGTTTACCCTGCCATAGCTACACCACCAATGCCCAACATGGGGGGTACTTACTTGTAGGTAATACTTGTAACACTAGGCTCGTGTGCAGCTGCTTCAGAGCTTCCTATTCTTTTCTTGTGGCAATGCTTTTCTAGATATACTAAGCAACTAGCGCACTTTAAAGAAGCCGAATTCACTAAGTAGAAAGGATGTCTCGATATCTTTGGACCTGTACCATATCAATGGTCAGTCAATGATGAAAGTCATTATAAAGCATTACCCTGTTTGAACATGGCAAACCAAATGGCTATATTCACAGGTTAGCAAAGCTAGCTCTGTTCACAGGTTAACTAAGCAAGCTCTAAGCTCTGAGATAAATGGTTTAACTCACCTGTAGACTACCTTAAAAGGAACCTATAAATTAGAGGCCTGACTGATACATCAGTTGACTGATAATATTCATCATTATTAATGATCCACAGTATTATTGGCATGGGCTAAAAAGCAACAGCCCCCTTTTTTTGGTTATTTGAATTTTTAGCCCACTAAAATTGGTGTTGCTATACAACACAAAATGTTTATCAGCAAGGGTTTATGATGGACTTGAAGCTCCAGGAACCTTCCATCCCTTAGTATGTACAACATGACAGTGTGGTGAGAAATGGGAAGTGAAACTGGGGATGTTGTCGCTGTGGAAAACAAAGATTGTGCAAGTTTTTCTTTTTTTTTTGGTGTGTTTAGACGTATCCCTCATTGCACAAGAGAGGGCGCCTGACGCTTTATAAGGGCTTGACACAGAACAGCTGTTAAAGGCCTCTGACCAAAGGTATGCTGCAGACTAACTTCTGTGGTGAGTGTGTGCAACATGTTGCTCTTTTATTTCCTGAACAAAAAGAAATACGATCAAAAAACCTTGCTAGGCACTAGGCTCGTTAACATTTAAATGTTATATGCTAATAGCTTTGTTTTTTGCTTTGTTTTATTATTCTTATTGTTATGTGGCAGAATTTTATAGTAGATAAGTTTTTTAAGAATATCTGTGAACATTCTGTAATGAGTTGCAGGTCATCGCCTGCTAAAAGTAGCCACTGTTACTAGACATTGTACACATATGTTTAGTATTTGAGCATGAAAATCCATGATTGTGTCTTTTGGTGTAAAATGTGTCCTGTAAAATTAGGGAACTTTGTCACTGGAAATTGCATTGCACAGTGAGAGTAACTAGTTATTTTTGTAGGACAAGCAATTTGGCATTGATTTTGGCCATGTAGATACAGCCAGACATAGCATAATTGTGTATGATTCATTGTAGTAAGTAGCCAGATACCTCTTACTTTCAATGTAACACTTTGTTTGATTCATGCTACTACACAGTTATTTCCTTTATGAACTTAAAATGGTCATTAATAAGCAAATATTGGTAGAACTTTACTGAAGGGCAACATTGGCACTTGCATAAGCCTTTGACAACTGACACAAACAAACATAAACATGTGGAAAGGCTTATTCCTTCACATGTCAAGACTGAGGACATTTCACCTCAGAAGGTGGTACAACAACTGTTATGTGCTGCTATAATGTTACTTATATTGCATCTTTGGGTCATAGAAAGTACTGGAAGTGCTGGATAATTTGAATCTAAAGAAATCTGAATTGGAATTGGCCAAAAACAAGGTAAACTCAAAACATTATGAATGGGTCAATGGTTGCGAACTTCGGTTTTCTGTTTACTAAAACTGAATGACCTCAATCAGGAATTGACACTGAAAGTCTGTGTTGTGGTAGCCCAGATTCCCTATCGCAGCAATTCCTGATTAGCGTCACAAATGCTAAATTCTTCAGAAGAAGAACTCTAACCAATGATGCCATATGAGCATAAAACTTTTTCTTGTTTTCGCAGGGAACTAAGCCATTTTACGATCAAGATGGTGGATGTCAATTTGGACATATTGAGTGATTACACGGATTACAATTACACGGCAGATAACCAGACCTATGACGAGGTACACACAGCTCACAGAGAGCGCCCCATTTGTTCTGGAGAAGTACTCTGCATGCTTTTGCTGGTCTTCAATGCACTCATTTTCGTGCTGGGGGTTGTGGGAAATGGCGTGGTCATCTGGATTGCTGGGTTTAAGATGAAGAAGTCGGTCAACACCACCTGGTACCTAAGCCTGGCCTTGTCTGACTTCATATACTGTGCCAGTCTGCCCTTCAACACCATCTACATGGCCACCTCGGACTGGACTTTCGGCCTCTTCATGTGCAAGTTCACATCCTTCGTCATGTTCCTCAACATGTTCAGCAGCATCTTCGTCCTTGTGGTCATCAGCATGGATCGCTGTATATCTGTTATGTTCCCTGTGTGGGCACAGAACCAGCGCACCATAGGCAAGGCCTCCATTATGGTCATTCTCTCATGGATTGTCTCTGCGGCCCTGAGCATTCCGTCAGTTGTTTTCCGTGACGTTCAGCACCACCTCGGCACAAACCGGTGCCTCAATAACTATACCACGAGCCAGTACGGTCACGCAACTATCGCCATGAGCCGATTCATTCTTGGGTTCATCGTCCCGTTTCTGATAATCATTGTCTGCTACTCCATCATCATCTTCAAGCTGAGGAGCAATCAGATGGCGAAATCCACCAAGCCATTCAAGGTCATGACAGCGCTCATCGTGACCTTCTTCTTGTGCTGGATGCCATATCACACGTTCGTACTCATTGAGGTGAACCAAAGCCTCTCTAACACGGTCCTCTCCCTAGGACTCAAAATCGGCTCCTCGACCGCCTCAGCCAACAGCTTCCTCAACCCCATTCTCTATGTGTTCATGGGCAACGACTTCAGGCGGAAGTTCAAGAGTTCCATCATGTCAAAGATTGAGAATGCAATGGGAGAAGAAGGACGCACACTGAGCCGTTACCTGTCCCGCTCTAGCTCCATGGACGCCAGAGCTTCCACTCATATCTGACACTTTGACGATGTTATAATGTGATATAACCTCACAGTCTGACACCCTTGTACATATCGTCAATATGTATTGTTCTAGCAACAAATCACTTTAATTTACTTAAGTCTTTAGGCTTCTACAAGGACTGTCAAAGTTCATGTGTTAATAACATGTTAATAAGGCATTAATGACATGCTAAAACACATTAACATAATAAATGCATTATTTTTTTAAGCTGTTAACATATTGTCACTGTCCATAGAAACCGTGTATCTCCATTTTTCTCAATTTTTAGTTTTCTAAATCATTCCAACACACCAGCTATCCTTTAAATTCTGTACAAATTTCATGATGATTGGACAAATAGAAATGTTCTAAAATCGTTTGTAATAAATAACCTTTACATTGACACATTGAAAGGTAAGAGTGTTTTTTTCTTCTCCTGTAAAGTTTCCTATCTTGGTTTTCTTTGGACAGTGACAATACTTTCCTAGGTTCACCTTAGAAACAATCCAGTGTTCCAGGACGAAGCCCAGCTGCGATGCATTGTACGTTGCTATGGTAGAATCTGTGATTATAGCCGTCTTGTTCAAATACATGTTTTAAATGACTTTGAAATACCTTCGGCAAGACTGGACAGAGTTCGCAGGAGACCTGTGGATAAATCAAACTAACACAAGCAACAGTAAAGTGGAAAGCTCCAGTTCTCTTTGAGAGAATCCACAAACTTTATGAAAAAAGATCGAGACGCTGCAATCATAGAGGATTTGAAACCTTTGACTGTATTTATCAGGGATTCCAAAACTGGTTCTGGTTAAAGTGCCGTGTTTGTTGTGGGCAAAAAGACAAACAACAAGCAATACAATGGAGGCAGGCAGGTTTCAATTTCTTTAAAAATGCATTTTGTAGCAAACTAATTAAAAATCATTAAAAATAAGGAAAAAAAAATGAAATGAATAAGTTCACCAACTGTTCACTGTGGACTGGAAATCATGTGATGTTTACATTCACAAAATAAAAATACTGTTACTGAATTATTAAAAGGAATTGATACATTCTCATTAACCTTATTTTGTTTGCTCATGTAGCTGTGACAAAATATACTGCTTTTTAAACAGAAAAAAATCTTTCTTTTGGCTCAGATTTGAGTGATTAAGCTGTGATTAATCGATGGTCTTCACAAAAATTGTGAATAATTATGATTCATTCTTTTAATCACTTGAATCCTAATTTCTACATGTTTGAACTGACTCTCACTTCATTGACTAATGATGATCTTGACATCTGGGTTTCTCGAGGATGCCAATTATGTCTAGAGTGAAAGTGCCAAGTTTGAATTAGTGTTCAGAAAACTCATGTACCCAAAGTTGTCTGTGAACGTTTGTACACCCAGTCATTTTACACATTTCGCTGAGTTTTCAAGTGAAAATAAGTGCTCATCCTCTACAAGAAGCAAACTTCGCAAATTTTAGTTCACAATTTCTATCTGATTGCTAAATCGAACATGTTTAAAATAAAAACTAAGATGCAAAATGCAAACGTTATGCAAATAAAACAGTAATCGTGCATTAAAACGTGCAGAGGACACATTGGCTTACTTTTGTTTTGAAATTCAACAAAATGTACCATTTGACTGGGGCGCACAAACTTTTGCACATGACCATATATGAGCAGAATGCTGCTGATGTTGTCCTTTTTTCTTCTGATACCTTCCTCCTTGCTCATCCATGACCAAACTGTGATGGTTTCAGTGCATAACACTGCCACTCCAGTCTTAATAAATGTTATTATATTGTAATTATGTTGTCATAGGCGATCATTCATGTGAATAACTGGATTTCACTGCATTAGATTAGATTTACAGCAGGCGCCCTGCACTGTACGGATGTGTGGGTGTGCGTCTGCGCTCGCTGGCTGATCTAAGAGATAAATTTTGCATAAGTATCTTACTTTTTCTGCGACCCTCGCGCTGTACCCGTCGAGGCCTGTCAGTAGACAGGACAGTGGAGGCGCTGCAGCAGTGAAGGGTGTGTGTATGTGTTGTTGTGCTGTTGCTCACTCTTGAGTTCTGAGAAGTAAATTCAGCGCAAGAGAGGAACTGAATGTCACAAAATTTTACTGATAGAAAGCGCTGGTCCCTCATCATATGCGGCAAAACCACAAATGCGGTACCATTGAGCTGAAGCAGCTGTTACCAGGTGAGTCTTTTTTCATTCAAACATCAACCAGGCAAACAACATCCGTCTGAATTTTGAATATACATTATATACAGAATATACAGGACAGTTGCATTGCTGTCATGGTCGCCTTATGTTGCGTGTCTCTTTTCTGGAGTCGTGCCATCACTCATATTGGGCCACTTCCAATTTCTCTGCAAAGCTGAATCACTTGATTTGATTCAGGTCATAAGAGTTGAAGGAAATTTTCTGTTTTTTAGCTTTTTTACTTTGGTTCAGTATAAAGTGCTGGAGCTGAAACTGCTCAATATACAGTGTTGCAATGCTTCAGGTCTTACAGAATGCAGGGAGGTATCCTCACTCAGAGTGAGATTGTGCTTGCAGTTTTTCCTTTAAATAAGCTATAGAGATAACAGGTTGAATGTTGCCAATACCATAGACAGCCGGCACCTACGCCTATGCCTGTCATTGTGAGAAATTCCCTTGGTGGTGACTTGTCACAAGATGCATTTGGTGTCATGCGTGGCACCTCGCATGTAAAAAGAAGAAAAAGCCAAAAAAGTGAGAGAAAAGACAAGAAAAAGTAAAGGGCAGATAGAAAACGAGAAGTGAGAACTGCAGAGAAGGAGACAAAGACGTGAGGATGTTAGAATGAGCAAAGGCTGTTCAATAGGGTGATGGACTGTTCTACCAAATTAGTTCAAACTGTGGTTATGTGGTGATCTGTTCAAACTGAAGGCCTTATTTGAGACAATATATTGAACAAAACAAGTAAAGTTCAGAATGGCCCATTAATGGTCAGTATTAAACATCTATATGACCACACCCCAGAAAATCATAAGGCTGAGGTTCACTGCTCCCTATATAGTGCACTATGTAAGTTATGAAATTTTGGCTTTTACACCCAAATATTGGTGTCCAGTATGAATTGTCCACACATGGCTGAATCCAATATGGTTCTTTGTTAGACACACTGGGCTCTGTTTAGATGCAGTAGTCATTATTTTAAGATCTATCTACTGCACTTTGTAGAGAGAAGGGAGTCATTTCAGATTCTGCATAAAACAGTTTTTGGTAGTGTTGCGTCACCTGACCCGAACACCGATTCGCTAAATTATTGGGTGCTGGTGAAAAACAGGTCTGACGCTTGACCGTTTCTGCTGTAAAACGTGACTTGCAATGCCTTGACAATGGACAATAATGGCTTTTGTGATGATTGTTTTTAGGGTTCAGAATGAGCTGTGTGGTAAGAATAACTCAGCAAAGCCAGCTCATTTTTAAATGATGGCATTTATTGTTTTTTTTGCAAATGAGCACTTCATACAAAATCCAGTATATGACACAAGCTGTATGTCACACTACAGGGAAGGGGCACAACTAGCCTGCCAACATCAGGAACTGAGCCCATCAGAATCATCTTAAGAGCCGCCCCATTTTCCTCAGCCTTCTAATCACTGCTTAGCAACGGTTGCTAGGTACCTTTCAGCATGTACATTTATATTATGGTCAAGAGACGGGCCTGTGTGACTTTTAAAATACCCCCCATACAATGACAGAGAGCAGGATATTGTTTTCTGCTCATCTCCAACTCACAAATAAACTTTAAAATTGTCAGCTTTGGGATCGTCTGTGTGGAAAACCTGTGCTCTCACAAATTGTCCTACATTTCAGAAGTCATTTTATTTCCTTGATTACATTTATACTTGGTAATATGAGCTAGTTTGACTGAATAATTAGTAAAGTGAGCCTGAAAAGCCAATTCTGATGGATTGTTTGGCTGAGACCGACCACAATATCTATGCAGTAGGTTAATTTTATTTCATAGACAAAGTAAACGAACCCTCCTCGGGACCAGCAGGGAAAACAAATGGGGCTTCAGCATTGCACTGAGTGCACCAGCATTTTGGCAAGTCTCCGTGCCATTTTTAACGTATAGAATGGTTGAATCCAGGGCTATTAAAGCTATGGAGGAGGTTATATCAGCAGTTATGTCCTTCTGAAATGACTTTGTATTGTGGGGTGACCTGTATCGCAAAGATAGCTATGACAGTGTACTGAAATATTTGGCCGGAGTATTACATCACCCAGGTATTTATGACTCACTGGTGAAATTCACATTGTTTACTTACTACCTTTGGGCACAGTCAGTACATGAGCGGAACTGTAGGCTATTTCAAACAGAGTCAAAAGGTTTTAGTCCATAGCCACACCCCAGCATATTAGAGGAAGAAAGCTTGGCCACATGGTGAGCAGTTAGATCCCATTGTTTTGAAGTTTTGAAGTGTCCTCAAAATCAGTGTGGAACATTAAAATTGTCATTTTATGCAGTTAAGTAAACTTTTTTGTGTTTTAATGACAAATAGTATGATTTTATGCATGTACAACTGTTCAAAGCTGTGTTTGCTAGTCATGTACTGGCTAGAAGTTTTGGTTTCTGCTCAAAATTAGCTAAATTGTCACTACCGAAACAGTCACTACTGACATTTGGTAAGGTTTTGGCATCGTTATGATTGTTTCGGTTGTGAAAAAATGGAATGATCAATCATTTGCTCAATTATTTGATTTGATAAAATATACATAATTAAGGTTAGGGTTACTCAAAGCAAAAGGCTTTAGTTTGAAATCCAAGTCTGTAAAAGGTCTGAATTGTGTTTTCAACTCCGACTTGGTAGAATGAGCCATCAATAAAAAAGAAAAATATTCACAGTACAATTTAATGGTACCCAAAAAAACAGGGTTCGATGCATGTAGATAAACCACATATACTGTATTTTAACACAGCTGTTGTTAATTTATTGTTATTATTGTTGGGCAATTCAGTGTTAAATTCACACAAATTGTCACCTTTATTTCAGAGATATTTGCATTTATTTTAATGGTTGTTAATGCTCATTTACTGTTTATTTGCTGAATGTAACAACATTTAATTGGGGCAACAAAAACTATAAAAGTTAGATAAAAATAAAGTTATGGCATATACATTTTTAAATTTTTCCAATATATTAAATCAAGCAAATAAATAAAACTGTGCACTAAAATTTGCAGAAAAAATGTGTTAACTTACAGATAATCAACAAAACCTGGGGTGTTCAACTTTTGCACACGACTGTATCACGTTTTAATCACAGATTTTGGTCAAATGTCCAGCTGCTGAAGACAAAGTGACAATGTATTGACTATTCACAACTATTTATTTTTATGTAACATTATAGCGTTTTAAGGCTGGATCTCAAAACTAATTACAGATGTTGCTGAACTGTCAACTAGTCCATCTTCACCAGGAGTTTCTGCTCTACTCTTGTTATTAAGCCTGCATTCTTCAAGCTAAATAACGTCTAACATTTAAATCAGCATAGCTAATTTTTTTCTCTTCTTTTTTGATTTGCAGAATTAAGAGGCATCATGAATTCAACCCCAGAGCCAGAATCAGACTATGGTGACTATGAATACCAAATTCCAGCCCCGAGTATGACTCCAGCAACTTGCACGGATGCAACATGTGTTTTCTTAGCAATAGTCAATGTGATCATCTTCGTCCTGGGTGTCGTTGGAAATGGTTTGGTCATCTGGATTGCAGGGTTTAAGATGAAGAAGTCGGTCAACACCACCTGGTACCTGAGTCTGGCTGTGTCTGACTTCCTGTTCTGCTCCTTCCTGCCCATCAGTATTGCTTATACGGTCAAAAAAGACTGGGTCTTTGGACTCCTCATGTGCAAGTTCACTTCCTTCATCTTGTTCCTCAACATGTTCAGCAGCATCTTCCTCCTCGTCATCATCAGTGTGGACCGCTGCGTGGTCGTTATGTTTCCTGTGTGGGCTCAGAACAAGCGCACCGTAAGAAAGGCTTCTGTGGTAGTCGTGCTAGCTTGGATCACTGCAGCATTGTTTAGTAAACCATCAGCTTTTTTCCGTGACATTGAGCGTGACATATTCGAGGACAGAAATATTTGTTTCAACAATTACACATCTGCTGAGCAGCATGCTGCCGTAGTGTCCTGCCGCTTCGTTTTTGGATTTTTGATGCCATTCCTGATCATTATCTTCTGTTACGTCTTCATCATACAAAAACTAAAGCTGAACCAGTCAGCGAGGTCCAAAAAGCCATTCAAGATCATGACAGCGCTGATCGCTACTTTCCTCATCTGCTGGCTGCCGTTTCACACTGTTGCTTTGATGGAACTAAACCACCACAAATACGCGAGTATTCTCCCTACTGGACAGGTAATTGGCACCACCTTTGCCAGTGCTAACAGCTGTCTGAACCCGTTTCTTTATGCGTTCATGGGGAAAGACTTTAAGAGGAAATGTCACGCGCTTCTGTCGAAGATCGAGAATGCAATCGAGGAGGAGGGCCGGAGCACAGTCCGAGGAACATCCATTACCACGTCTGGAGAAGGCAAACTTTCGACTGTTGTTTGAAATCATCAGTGACTATCGAAAGAAAGAAAAAGAGACTGAAACAATCAGTCAAACTGCCAGCTCAGTATAAAAAAAGGAACATGTGGGAGACTTTACAGTGTATGTATCGTTGATCCTTTGAAAAGTGTCTCAGTTAATCTGCGCTATAAAGAATCTCTGTGTTCAGATAGACACCCATAAATGGATAAGCTTTTACTCAAAAAAGCCCAGGCAATTCAGGGCATTGTGAAAGATGCTTAACAAACTGTTATTCTCCTACAAAAGCTTTTAAAACTTTTCACAGTCATAACAATGCTTTATTTTGACTGGTACCAGCAGAGGAGGGCATGCTGTGTAGATAAAAAGCTCCTCGAGTCACTTAGACTAGTAATTTTAAAATTAATTCAGATTTTTACTGCCAGTTAGTTTTTTACTGTAATGGCATACTATTGGTCAACCTACACACATATTTTGAGTCATTTACTACCACAGTGTTGTCTCAAGAGGCTAGAATGGGCTATTAATCATGGTATAAAACAATGCTTTAACAATGCTAAAACCAATACAGAAACATTTATAAAGTGTAGAAACTGGGACTAAATACCAGATTAGCATTACAAAAAATGGCATATATATTTCCCCAGGTTACAAATGGAGTGAATCATGGGTCTTACAAAAACAACAAAAGTAATAGCTTCTAACTGTTGCTATGCACCTTTAGAAGGTGGCAGTGAGTAATGTTTTGTTTATTTGATGTTTGCTAATAACACCTTTAGAGGGCAGCAGTGAGTAATGTTTGTTTATTTGATGTTTGCTAATAACACCTTTAGAGGGCAGCAGTGAGTGATGTTTGTTTATTTGATGTTTGCTAATAACACCTTTAGAGGGCAGCAGTGAGTGATGTTTGTTTATTTGATGTTTGTTAATAACATCGTTAGAGGGCAGCAGTGAGTAATGTTTGTTTATTTGATGTTTGCTAATAACACCTTTAGAGGGCAGCAGTGAGTAATGTTTGTTTATTTGATGTTTGCTAATAACACCTTTAGAGGGCAGCAGTGAGTAATGTTTGTTTATTTGATGTTTGCTAATAACACCTTTAGAGGGCAGCAGTGAGTAATGTTTGTTTATTTGATGTTTGCTAATAACACCTTTAGAGGGCAGCAGTGAGTAATGTTTGTTTATTTGATGTTTGCTAATAACACCTTTAGAGGACGTGATGAGTAACGTTTGTTTATTTGATGTTTGTTAATAACACCTTTAGAGGACGGCAGTGAGTAATGTTTGTTTATTTGATGTTTGCTAATAACACCTTTAGAGGACGTGATGAAGAACGTTTGTTTATTTGATGTTTGCTAATAACATCTTTAGAGGGCGGCGGTGAGTAATGTTTGTTTATTTGATGTTAGTTAATAACACCTTTAGAGGACGTGATGAATAACATTTGTTTATTTGATGTTTGCTAATAACATCTTTAGAGGGCAGCAGTGAGTAATGTTTGTTTATTTGATGTTTGTTAATAACACCTTTAGAGGACGTGATGAAGAACATTTGTTTATTTGATGTTTGCTAATAACACCTTTAGAGGACGTGATGAGTAACGTTTGTTTATTTGATGTTTGCTAATAACACCTTTAGAGGACGTGATGAGTAACGTTTGTTTATTTGATGTTTGTTAATAACACCTTTAGAGGACGTGATGAATAACATTTGTTTATTTGATGTTTGCTAATAACACCTTTAGAGGGCAGCAGTGAGTAATGTTTGTTTATTTGATGTTTGTTAATAACACCTTTAGAGGACGTGATGAATAACATTTGTTTATTTGATGTTTGCTAATAACATCTTTAGAGGGCGGCGGTGAGTAATGTTTGTTTATTTGATGTTAGTTAATAACATCTTTAGAGGACGTGATGAATAACATTTGTTTATTTGATGTTTGCTAATAACATCTTTAGAGGGCGGCGGTGAGTAATGTTTGTTTATTTGATGTTTGTTAATAACGCCTTCAGAGGGCGGCGGTGAGTAATGTTTGTTCATTTGATGTTTGCTAATAACATCTTTAGAGGGCGGCGGTGAGTAATGTTTGTTTATTTGATGTTTGTTAATAACATCTTTAGAGGGCAGCAGTGAGTAATGTTTGTTTATTTGATGTTTGTTAATAACGCCTTCAGAGGGCGGTGGTGAGTAATGTTTGTGTATGAGTAGTATTGTTTTCAGTTGGGAGCTACTAAGTATCAACAGCTAGGAAGCGAGAAAGCTAATCAGCCATTTTGGCCACTTTAGGCTTGTATTTTAATATCTGCATACAATGAAGAAAACAGTCTAATCACAGTTATTTATATGCCAAGTAATCATCAGGTACTATATGGTTGTGAGAGGCCTATTAAACCTGTTTTTACCAACTACTTTATACAGTCTATTCAGTTCTGTAAGGTTCCAGCAAAACTGAAAGAACGTTTTCCTCCTCACATTGATGACTCCATCCACATTTTACCCTCCATTTCAGTTTATTCGTTTTTTTGTCTCAAGGAAAGTACCATTGTAGTAAGGTAGCTCTTTGCCACCTGTCTAGGTGAAGAGGCTCTTATGATCATGCACATTTTGTACTGTTGTTGACTGGAAAACATCACTGCAGCAGTCTCTGTAGATTACAGCTCATCTGTTCATGCACAATTCAGGTTAGACATCCTTCGGCCCTTCATTAAAGGTCAGTTACTGACCACAGAACTGCTCTTTTGAGGTATTTCTGGGTGTGTGATCACTTTCAGTCTAGCAATAGCATTACCTGGTGCAGTCCTATGGTCTGAAACTAACCAATGAGGAAACTTACCAGTGATGAAATTATGCAGCAACTGATGAGCTATAAGCTGTAAATATACACTTATATATATAAGCTATAAGGTAGGAGCTCATAGAGTGGCCAGAGAGTGGAAATACAAAGTAGGTGTTTCTAATAAAGTGGCCACTGAGTGGAACTACAAGGGAGGTGTTTCTAATAAAGTGGTCACTGAGTGGAACTACAAAGTAGGTGTTTCTAATAAAGTGGTCACTGCGGAAATACAAAGACGTTTATAATAAAGTGTCCCGTGAGCGGAAGCTCAAAGTAGATGTTTCTAATAAATTGGCCACTGAGTGTAAGTACACAGTAGGTGTTTCTAATAAAGTGGCCAGTGAGTGGAAATACAAAGACGTTTATAATAAAGTGGCCAGTTAGTGAAAGTACAAAGTAGGTGTTTCTAATAAAGTGGCCAGCATGTATAGACCCCAATTCTATAAATGCAGATTGTTTTAGACCAAATGCAGCATCAGTTACTGAAATAAGTGTCTCAGAATGACCTGAAACATTCATTTACTTACAAAGTAATAGCTTTAAAGGGACAGCAGGGCCGTTTTTAGAGCTGTTGAGAGCACATCTTAGGTTTCATGCTACAACAGCGTGCCTAATTAGGCCACGTAACAATAAGAGAACGAGTCTCCCAAAAATATTGTACGAAAAACCTCTGTTACATGGTAAAATAGAATCAGAAGCAACACAGTCATTTTATTTGCAGAAGTTTTTTTAAGGGAGTCTAATATCTAAAATCTTTCTGAAAACATCTTGCAAAATTAAGGCTGCTTGAAAGCATCTTGTATCATGTTTCCTGTTTTTTCAGTTTGTCACAATAATTCATGATAAGCATCATGATTATCATCTCCTGCTCTGTCACTTAACCTTCAGCCGCACCTTTAGAAAACTAGCTTTCAAAAAGCTCTGCAAGTTAGCACTTTTGAATGTAAATAGGCCAATTTTTCTATTGAAGGTATTTGTTTTTGCACGTTTTGGTTTTCGTTAAAAGGACAGTACTTGTATTTGTAGAAACATTAGCTTGTTTTTGTTGTTTTCATTTTTAAAATTGATAAACAATTCCAGATTGATGAGACTGATGTCAATAATAATGATGTTATCAGTGTTACTGTATTTTTACAACTGTAAACTCTTTGTAATGAATTAGTTCTCACTTGCTTGTAATTTTTGTGTGGCACTTTTTACCAGGCTTAGGTAGTAAGATAACACATGTAATGGCATCACGTAATCAGGTTACCAAAAACTACAAATTACAGATCATAGATACGTTGTAAAAATAGAGGGGTACTAGCTGGATTACAACATTAAAACCACTCTTACAGCACTCCTGACGACTGATCATTTCCATTACTTTGTAAGCGGCAGTGGTAGGTAATCACTGATTACGCTCACTTAAATACATGTACTTAAATGTTCTTGGTACTCTCCTCAGTATTTTCAAACCATAATACTTCTAATACGTCAAGTATTTTAGTTAGTAAAGGAATCTACTTTCTGTTTAGTTACTATTTCCTATTTTATGTTTATTTTTCATTATGCTTTGTTGGTGACAACATCTGTAGTGCTTTGTGATTGGTCACATCTCTCACTTTGGAGCTTTAGCGTTTTACTTTAGACCAAAACTACCCCCAAATAAGAGTGTAATGATCTTCAGTGCCTATGCTGATAGATGCTGGATTCACAAAGCCGTTTGACTGCAACTCTATAATTTACTCAACACTTAAGTAGTTTTTTGACCCAATACTTTTACACTTCTACTCAAGTTGTTGCTTGGGGAGGCATATTTTTACTTGTGTCAATCAATACTTGAGTACTGGTTAATGCTACTCTATCAACCTCTGGTAAGCAGTCTTTGTTTATCTGACCATTCCCATTACAATAATGCTAATTTCTTCTAGTTACATCTGGCATAAATACAGACATTTGCAGCTTTACAGTGAATCCTTCCGTAAATATTGGGACTTAAAGCCTAACTTTATTGAAAGAGGCAGTTTTATCTTTCTCAACGAAGCAATAAGAAATACAGCTTTCCAAAACTGTAGGTCAAGTGCCCTAATAGCATTGTGAGAAAATGAAGAATAACTACAGAGAGGAACCAAGACTCAAAATGAGAACCTCCCTAATAACATTAGGAAGGAACACGAAAGGAACCAAGACTCAAAAGAAGAAACTCCTTAATAACATGAGGAAGATTCCCAGAGAGGAACCAAGACTCAAAATGAGAAACTCCCTAAGAACATCTTTTCTTCTTTTCTATGGGCTTGCATGGTTGTTAGGAGTTCCATTTTCACTGAATCTTTTAATACATTTTTGAACTCCAGCTTTTAAAACTCCTGTTTTTTCCAGTATTTCTCCTTTAGATTATCTTTTGTCTAATCACCTCAGAAATATCTGAAAAATGAATAGCATGCATTTATAGCAATTTTGACTGGAAATTAACAGAAAACGGGTGATCTCTGAATTTTGCCCAGCATATTCTGTCATGTTTTGAATTAACACTGTGAATAGCACACCCAAGAGTCTGTGGACCTCTCACAGACTTCCATTCAAACTGTATGGGCAAATGTCATACAAAGGAGTTACTGGGCTTATAAGGACCCACAGTGCCAAAGTAGGAATCTAAGCATTTTCTGTAATTACACACAAAACACTATTCAAAATTCAGAAATATATTGGTTACATTGATTAGTAAACTAAATCAAATACATTTACATTGAAAATTTCAATAATTAACCATTTTTCCTGAAGTTGGTAAAGTTTAGCCATGACAGTTTACGATTTAATACCACATGGTCAATCTGTTGAAATGTGAGATGTGAACACATTTATAAGTCAGTCTTTTCCTTATGAATCTCTCTATTTTGAGAATATTGTTAGCAAGTATGTTATAGGACCACCTTTTAAAGGCAATTTTCCATGGTGTTTTGAAAATACTTCTTTA